ACAACAAAATGGGTCGCCAAGAGCCTAAATTCCTAATCCAGGGAAGCCCCAGGCAGCTGGAATTGCTCCCCCTACCCCCGAAAGCCCGCACCAGAGCGAAATTTTGCCGCAGATGCTGCAGACCTTCTCAAGCGGCTGGCTGCAGTTTTCCTACGGCGAAGGCCGGCTGCCTAACCGTGTTCGAGATCATTGAACGGCCAACAAATGCCCAAGCTTGGGCCAAGGGGTGGCTGGCAATGAGGGAATGAACTAGTGGAGTTGAGAGGCAGCGGCCAGTGTTTGAGAGACTGGTATAACATGGGAAATAGAGCGGCAGAAGACCGTTGGCGGCCCAGTTCCTGCTAGAACTACGGACAGCGTGGCCATTCTCGCAGCCAATGCCTGCACTGGTGGTTCCGGGGCCAGAGGAACCAGGGAAACCAACAGGGCTTGCGACGCTGAACTTGGAGATCTCGCTGCCGCCGGCCCAAGCTGGCAGCAGCGAGTTCCAGCCTCAGGATGAGCGAGTCGCCAGCACTTCTCTCGTCTGTGTCGCATACGACCTACATATCAGTACATCGAGCCTTACATGACACTTTGTCTACTTGCTGTTCCCTTTGCCGCCCTTCTTGATAATGGAGCAGAAAGTTTGTTTATTGGAGACTTTTTTGAGCTGTGCAAAACAAAAAAAGAATCGCTTTGTTCCTAAAATACACTTCTGCAGTGCGCTGCAATGCTCGGCATTCTGTTCGACGAAGAGGCACGCTAGCATTTTCTTTAACTGCCAGGATTGAACATGCCAATTACCTTTTGGTGTAGATTTTATTGCAGGCGAAAAACTTTTGCTCGACTTTGATGTTGGCGGCTATTGGCCGGATGGACGTTCAGCTGGATGTTACCCCTTTCACGAGGCGAGAGGATTGCATTACCGGCGCAGCTCTCCCGGCTCTCTGTACAACAAGGCTTGCTGCAGCCTTTCCTGCCGGTGTCTGAGACACCCTGTAGGTGGGTCCAGGAAACAAAAGTAACAGCTAGAGAGTATGTTGCAGCCATTTCCACCAAAGTACTACACGGGAGTTGCGGGTAAGACTGATGTGCTGCTGCATCGAATCGAGACTGGCGACGCTCGACCAACTGCGGTGCAACCCAAAGCCCCTCATCGTCCATGTACGAGCTCTCCTGAATGCAGCACTACAGGAGTGGATCGACACCGGAGCTGTTTGCAACTCCCAGAGTCGTTGGGCTTCTCCCGTCGCAGCCCCAACGCTGTAACGGCGAGAGATTCATACCAGTTTCCCTTGATCGACTCAATCATGTACGCGATCGACAACACAAAAATGTTCACAATGCTTGACTGCAGTCTAGGATAATCGAGATAGACCCAGAGGAGGTTTCGACAACCGCTTTCACCTGTCACAGGGGAGTGTTCGAGCCTTTCAAATTTGCCGGATACCTTTCAACATTGAATGGACATTGGTGTCGATGATGCAAAGAGCAAGTTTGTGATGGCGTACATGAAGGGCGTCATTTTCCCCAATCTTTCAAGAAATACCGCGAACATTTTAGGATTGCCCGCAAGCAAATGCAATATGCCAACTTGACAGTTCACCCTGAAAAGAAAATGAACCTTCTTGGCTTTGCTGTTAACTCGAGTTTTTCACTCCAATCGGGACAAGATACGCGCGATAACCGATTGCCCGCAGCCGCAAGACGTCAAGAGCTTGCAATGCTTTCTAGAATTGATTGAATGTTATTGCCAACTCGTCCCACACAGCTCCAAGATAACTAAACCTTTGTATTTGCTTTTGTGCAAAAGAGAAGATTGGCATTGGAGACAAAAGCAACAAGACGCTTTCCCTCGGCTCTCGAGGGGAATCATTGACTTTGCTTCGTTAGTTTCCGGGTCTTTTTAACCCGTTCGTTGATCAAACTGCTGCCAGCGACTCTGGCCTTGGTGCTGTCCTGCTTCAGGAACACAACGGTGTTCTTTGGCCAGTTACCTTCACCAGCCGCATGCCGACAGCGGCCAAACACTACTATTATGCAATGGAAAAAAAGTGTCTCGCCATTATTTTTGCCCTAAAAAAATTTAACATGTATTTCAATGGCACATACTTTCAAATCCAGACCAATCAAGTGTTCTCCTGGCCGAATGATTTGCGGAATCCAGTCGGATGTCTTGCACAATGAGCTCCGACATTGCAGGCATACCACTAAGCCACTACATAAAAGAAGGGAGTTTTGTTGCGGCAGACGTAATCTCGTATGGTCCTTTGCAGGTCCTTCCCACTCAGGACGAAGATGCATTGGTGCGAATAACTGGCATTGTGGCCGACTGATGTTGGGGAGCTCCGTCTACAGGTGTGCGAGAAGCTTGCAGAACAAAGGGTAGGCCGCACCTAGAGCAACGATTGGTACGACTCATATTTGCTGAGAGAGAATGGACTTCTTCTCAGCTACATTTTTCAAGCAGACGATGCCGCCCATGGCTCACCTTTCAGGATTGTGAAACTTCGAACGCCGTTCATCAGTCACTTCCATGATTCAGCCTCATCAGGCCACAGCAGCAGCAGTATTACTTGCAATAAGTTACGTCATGTCGAGACTTGATCAGGAATCATTCAGGATATACGAAGTATGCCCACACTTGCCCAGGATGTCAGAAGTCAAAGCCACACGAAGGTCTCCTACCAGGATTTATGCAACCAATCGTAAACCACTCTCCTTGGCAGATTGTTTCCTGCGACTTGTAATGGGATTATTTCCTCATAATCCGTACAGTAATCAGTATCTTCCTGTCGTGACTGATCACTTCACGAAATTGGTTGAATTGTTCCCTTTACAGAAGCTTCTTTCGCAAAAAATCTGGTATCGCCTTCTTGCCGTCCTTACCAGATTACGCTTTCTTACAGAGCTCATGGTGGATCATATTTCCGGAGCAAGGTTGTCTCGACATTTGTGCTGTGCTTGGCATACAGTACAAGCTCACTTCTCTGCAGTGTTTATAGTTTGTTGTGAAGACTAGCTGTTCGTTGGCAGATGCATCACATGCACAGCGAAAGGGAACATAAAAGCAGCATAATATATTATTAATTTCCCAGGGAAACGAACACAAGACGTGTACACTTGAGAGTATAGAGTATTGCTTCTTATAATCTGATCTGATCAGTGTGGTCATTGCTTCAGTTTATGTGGTTAATTAAAGTGGTGTTTTTTTCTTACATTCAGTCAATGGATATTGTTTCAGGTGCTTCTGGTACGCTGCCTATAGGCAGTGGATGCTATGGTTGTGACTGCAACTGGGGCAGAGCAACAGGCGACCACTTGCCTCCTGCATTGTGAAAACAATGGGGGACTGACCGCCAGCGACACATTTGCCGGGCTCCTGTGCCCTGATTGTGCGACTGAATAAAAGTGTTTTTCTTATACTGGGTATAGAACCATGTTTTTCTCACCACAAAAGTAAACATTGCATCGTCCAACGGTCGGTCTTCACACAAATGTATTGTTAGCCGTGAGAACCAAGTGACAACTTACTATTGCCCACTTCAAAGTTGTAATCGATTTGCATAACTTCTCACCAAGAACACTCGGGGTTTTGTTGGCTGCCATCTTTGTGGCACTTCTGTGCAAATATTTCCATACTCCGTTTCACCTTACAACTGACTGCAGCAAACGCTATGAGCTATTGGAGCCAATGGGCAATAAGTAAAATAGCAGTGCCCCTAGCGGTTCAGGTGCACTCTGGGAGCAGGAGACTGTCAATAAGTAGTTTTGGTTTCACCGGGTTGTGAATCTGTCGTCTGCTATCATCTCCACATTGCCATTATGTCGTCGTGGATTGCTCCACACTTGTGAACGAAGTACTAAGTGCCCTTTTCTTCTTGTTGCTACAAATCTGACACAGCAAATAATGAAACAATTTATTTTGCTGGCACGGGTTTTGAGCGAGAACATTCCAACGGCGAACTGAAGTGAACGTAGAGCGACATACACCGAATGCCGTGCCAGCTCGCTGCGTGCATTTGTTTGCCGCCTCGAAAACATCCACTGAGACTAGCACTCATTTTATAGCACTTGCTTCGCCAATCGATAGTTCCAATTGGGCTAACACAATACATGACGAAGCTAGCTGTATGAGAACGTTCAAGCACAAACTTTCGCCCTTTGCTATGTTGCTGTGTGAAAATTGGCCGTGGAAACAAGGGTGTTATAGAAACAAAGTACTAGTCTCAGTGGCTGTTCTCAAGGTTGCAAACCAATGCACGCGGTAAGCTGGCACGGCATTCGATCTGCATTCACTTGACTTCACCGTTATGGTGTTTTTGCTCGTCCCCGTGTCAGAAAAAATCCTAATTGTTTCGTTATTCGCTGCGATTGATATGTAGCAACGAGAAAAAAAGGGTACTTGCTGCATTGTGCGCAAGTGTGGAGCATCCACAACAACATGAGCAATTGTATAGGCGGCAATTACTGGCAATTTTACAGTGACGTTTTGCAGAAGTGGTGTGACACCAAGGTTGGGTAGTAGAGATCACAGCACTATGTAGCCCCTAAGAGCAGAACAACGCAACCCTTTGAATCCGGGTGTTTTACTGACAACATAACCGACAGAGCAGCTCGCCGCAAGTCATGTGGTACTGTTTATTAAAACATAAACTCCGAGTTCACACTTTTCGATACTAGTCTGTTGTGAGGTTCGCAGAGCCACATTGGCTGGGAAGGCTCATACACTACGCTGTTTAGGAACAAGGTTTGTTTTTGCTCCTTCAAGGCACATACGAGTTACCCAGTAAATGAATTACTGACATTCCTTTCAGTGGTTGAAATCAAACCTTTTTGCCAAGGCACAAAAGAGAATGGTGGGGACATAGGCAAATGCTGAGTGCGCATGTCTTGGCATCTGCAACAGTTACTCTTGCAGATGCCGTGCGTAAATGCACTTCCAGCATGCTTCTTGGTGCTTGGCAAAAGTTCTACTCTCCGAACACACCTCTGCATAATCATTCGGCTTTGGCTAAAACTATTTTCATTTGTTTCCTCAAAGGTTAGCAAGGCATGAACCACTGAATTATCGAGAGGAGACAATGTTGCAGATGGGAGGGGAAACCGTAGTGTAGACTGGAAAATATGTTTAGCTCTGTAAGTCTGAATGGCATCGAACTTGTGCTAAATGTTTGTGCTGTCATGCACAGTTGCCTGGGTTTGGTTTATACAGTTCCAGTCTACCTCCTCGATGAAAGCCCCATTTATTAAAGACCAACAGGAGAGCTGCTTTGCCAAGGTGTAGCCTCTTCAGGATGTCTGTGGCAGCACATGAAAAGAAAAGTCAATGCAGTATTACGTGCGAGGGACATAAAAAAATATGCGGAAAGCATGTATTTCAATACTCGTCTGTGGCGCATCGGAACACAAGGAGGGGCACACAAGCAACGGATAGCATAAAAGGCATGAGGAACACACGATGACGAAGCAAGCAAGCAAGCACTGTCACTGGGCAAAATTAAAGCGGGCACAAGCATGTGGACGCATGCGGAGGGAGGGTAAACAAATGCACAAGGCGTGCAAAGATCAGACAAACTTCTAAGTTCTAGGCGCACATACGCATAGCTTACCTCTCGAAACCTTTGGCAGGGTTGGATGGAGAGTATGTCGCCTCAGAGTCTGGCGTGCTGCTGGGAGCAGGAAATATGCAGTTGTATGGCACCTCGCTGCTGCAGTAGGGGACGGCAGAGTCGAAAGTATCCAACGGTACTGGCTCCTCCACGACCAGGGAGATTCATCTCGACAGTGCAGTCCCTCAGGATCCTTTCTGCCTTGCAGGATGCAGCAGTCCAGCTGCTGAGACTAGGACCTGCAAATAGCACGTTTATACTACAATGTTTTTCACAATGCCTGGTTTCTAACACTTAGAAGAATGGAGAGTCGGGCAATTTGGTGGGAATTCATCGTAGGGAACAGCAAAAACAGACGAGGACGTTAACGAGCGCTGCGCTCGTCCCGTGTGGCTCGCGCACTGGCCGTTCAATGCGCGAGCCACTCCTGGGAACTCGCACGACAAGCACAGGCACAGGCACATTCGCTCGTTTCGCCGCGCTTTGGCTGCGCATACAGGCTCTAAGCTCTCGAACGAAGCGTGTTCTCAGTTATGAAGCTCGAACCGGCAGGCCGGGATTGCTTACGAGATGTGGCAGCTGTTTGAGAAAACAGCCGTGCCATTCTGATCCAAGCAAATAAACTGCACCGCAGAAACGACAACAATGAGTGTGCAGGCGAGCTGGTAGATGCTGATCATGTTCAAAATTACCCGAGTCTGTGGTAAAAGGGAGAAAACCTAGGTCCTAGAAGAAAAAATAAAAATAAAAATCGTGGAGTTCTTAGGCTTAGGTGGACATCGGCTCCATTCCGGTATGGGCAGCATAGCCTTTTGTGACCCTGTACGCGTGGGTAATCCTCCCACACTGAGTAAAAATAAAGTATTAGTATACTTTTGATTCAGGTAACGTCATGCTCGCAAACTTTCGCATTCTGTCGCCATCACTAGTGTCTCAGCGATATTCAGCTTTCTACGATGCGTAGCTTATTTACGCGGATAGAAAAACACGGTTCTCTTTTACAAAACACCCTTCGAATACGTATGTCACGCAGACTGCTGCACGATGCGACGTTGTAACTCACAAAAATCACCAAACACTTACCAGGACTTTTTCGCGGGTCCCTCGCTCGGTCCCGTCGGCGACGGGAAGCAGAAGCGTCGGTACAGCAGACTACGGTCACCGCTGGCGAACGCCTCGAAGGTGTCCGCACGGAAACGAGGAATGTGGAGGAGGTCCTCGGCGGTCGTTTTCTTGCCCGGTGCAACGTAACCATTCGCGTCCTCGCGAACCTTGCTTCGAGAACGGGATGAAGTGGGAGCATAGGGAAGAAACCCGGCAGACGACGGAGCGACGCAGCCGCGTGGCCGCGTCGCCGCGCGGGCACATCACTCCCGCGTAACAAGGCAAGGAGAAAACATAGTTCGCTCGTTTTCAATCAATAATAGCTGCATTACGTCACCTACACCCTACGATTTGACGTGGTTGTCAAAAGATAATGTGCATGTGTCTAAAAAGAGCAATATTAGTAACTTTCGGAATCTCCACGAAATTGACAATTTTTATTGGTTGAATTTTATGGCGGTGGTGGGGACACAGGATGGACTCCCCAAGAGGAAATAGTGCCTGCGTATTTCTTTTGCTGCGAGTTTATTTCGGCGTCTTGCCGTCTATGACTGGTCATTTTCATTGACTGAAGCCCAACAAACAATATGCTTTCAAAAACAAACTTCTCCAAAAAGCACTTGAGTGCCCCTTTAATACCAGTGCACTCATTTGCGAGACAAAAGACCATTTACGAAAATCCCAGGAGCCATTCATAGGATGCGCTCCAATAATTGGCTGGGGCTCGCTTTCTTGCCGATTGAATAAGAGTCCCAACCGAACACTAAGGCAGCACTGATTGCTAGCTCGCTCAGCCGCAAAAATCCAAAACCGTTCGTATCCCCTGCTATGAACACCTAAGAGAAAGATAAACCACATCCCTCGCTCTCTCTCTCTATTTGTTTCCTTTGTATGCAATAGCAGCCATAAGCGGTTGCATTCATTTATGGTATCCTCAAGTTTGCACCCCATCAGAAAAAGGGGGCAAGGAGAGGGGGAAGTTCCCCTCCCCCTTCTCCCTGACTTTTGGAACAATTATAACAGGCAATATGGGAGTGAGGGACAGAGTTTAGCTTCCTTGCACATCACTCCTCCACCTTCCAAACAGTAGCAAATCAGCTGGCCTCTGCCCATAGCGGTGCAAGACATAGCTTTATTATATAGACACTAGACTGAGGGGTAGGACGAATGCAATTTCTTAACATGTGCATTTGTCCAAGTGGCATACAATATGTTAGGAAGATTTTTATAGATAAATTAGTGTAAACAACGTATTGCGTTTAAGTGCTGACTGCCATATATTATAGTTTATTTCACAACTTTAGAAAGGAAGCTAACGAATGCAAGTAACATCTAAGTTTGGGGAGACCAATCATTAAATATTGTAACTACAGCTCTACAAGGGGATAATTCGCCATAAAGTACCATTGAACCTTAATAAAGAAAAAGTTGTACCTACTAAAATTCACGAATTCTAAACAAAACAAAACAAGAAGAAAAAGAAATTTAAAAGTAGGCCATACCAAGAACATACAAATTAAGATTGGCGAGTATTAAAATAACTGATAAATATGCTACATGTCAAAACAGAACATGCATCGCGGCGAGCTTAAGTTCTACCACAACCGACACTACTAGAAAGTCAGCGAGCTGCTCATGTGTGCCAATTCATCGTGCTGCTGCGCAATAGATGTGGGCTCTATGTTTTTTATTGCATGCGGATGAACTGGTTGCACCACTCTGAATGCAGGGGCAGGCACATGCATTGAAAGGTCGAATTTAGAGCTCTTTTTTTTTTGCACATAGTAGAAAGGTTAATCTGTAAATTGCTTAGCCCTACTCTGGCAGCATCACAGCGTCTCTCAATCCTTCATCTAAACTTAAAACATGTTTATTGCAATCTCGACATTTAAGTTCACACATATATTTTTACGCTGATTTGAAAGAAAAAAAGAAACAGTTTTAAGGAATTGCGGTGTTTGCGGCGCAGAAATATGTAGTTATAAATGTACGCATATTGAAGGGGGGGGGGGGGGGGGCCTCTATATTATTTACAAGTTATAAATCAAATCGCTGGCCTCCCCTTCAGCTCACCAGTGTCAAATGTACTTTTAAATTATCAGTCCAATAAATACCCTGTTATACAAACAAAATATGACAGTTCAACGGAACATGATGCTTATATCAATAAATCACTAACGTAAAAAAAAAAAAAAAAACTTGTCAAGTAAAGACGATTACTGGCAAATACGCTCACATAGCGCAGTGACATAGCTGACACTCCACAACCACCCGACTAGCTGAATCTTGGCAAAGAAGGACTACTCAACGCCCCGTGCAATTCGGCTTTGGACATACTGGGAGGACTTTACTACAGCACACATCTACCTTCAAGAAGACAGCCATATTTGAACAGCAAAAAAAATGAACTAAATGACTTCAAACACGAAAATACACAATCAGAACGTCTCTCACAGACTATTGGAATAAAAAGAATTTACAAATAACGCTGTACAGGACCTTTCAGGCCGATCGCTGTGGACTACACGCGGGACTCGTCGGAGACTCCCGGCCCAGAGTTAGACACGGTTCAAACGGATCGGATCATGACAAAACGTACATTACGTAGCAAGAACACATGTCTCCGATGGTCAAGAAGAAGGAGAGGATCCTCTCATTGTCACTCACGTGCAAAAGAAAGTGGTCCGTCGTGTCTTCGGTCCGTCGAAGCTGGTAATGACATGTATGGCCACAACAAAGGAAGATCACCGGTGTGTAGGCGCTGCCGAGAGAATATCCAAGGTCTTGACATTCCGCATGTTGAAGATCGCTCTTGGCAATAAACCATCGTTCTTACCGGTTCCAGTTGGGGAAGCGTGGATAAAAGAGATGCCGAGCCGGTTCACCCGATAAAAAAAATATAAAAAATAAACGTCCGCTAAGCAATAAAATGAACCTAAACAACTTAAGAAACTGACACCACGGTGTCCTGATATGAGCATGTTCATCTTGCCATTCTTGAAAAGAGCTATCTCTGCCGGAAAAAAAACTCCATAAATTGCGAAGCGCCTCTGCCCCTTTCCAGTTCGCGGATGCGCGTGTTGGACATTGAGGGGACCGTCCCTACCGTCGTCCAGTCCCTACCTTATCGTTAGGCCTTGGTTCACGCGACTCCACTTTCTGTGTGTGTGTGTGTGTGCGCGCGCTTCGCGGGCTGGACTCCGTCACTCCTAAGCTGAAAGTGAAGAGGAAGCTAAGGTGTTCGGTGAGCCAATCGTACATTTGGCTTTAATCACATGATCACGCTCCCTCCCGTAACCACGCGCAGAGAGTGGCGCACGCGATAACTGGCATGGTGGGCTCGACGGTCTTCCGACACTGTCAGCGTAGGTATCAAGGGAGCCGCCCTCCTTCAAGGACGCGGACGCCGAGTCCCCTAGGCTCACAAGAGATTTGGAGGGATTAGTGATGGTGGGTGGGGAAAACGGGAGGGAAATTATTTTCTCAGCACCTTCTCTCGCCCTTTTCGAGGGAGAGATAGAGCACTTGCGCCAGGCCAGGCCGAGGGACCTTCGTAAGCAACCCGTTTCGAGGCCATCGGCGCGCCCCTCCACTACGCTCTTCCCTCTCTCGAATTCGTCGGTTTGTCTCAGCTGGTATTTGCTATCCGGGTAACCAAAAAAACAATATAGTAGAGTTTGCTTACACATGATAACTCTAGAACAAGGGGACAAAAAGGAATTGACAGACACGAAGCACTGAACTCAGCTTGAAGCCTCGTCAAAAAAAAAAAAAAAAGATAATGATAAATCAAATGTCTCCCAACGAAAAGAAAAGGGGCGATATAAATTGCAAGAAGATTGTCGGCCACTTGGCGTTCCCTCAGAGCACCAGTGAAGCTAACTAGCTTATGCCTCAAAATAAACAAAACAGGAGAGCATGCGCTCAAAGAGACATGCACACAAACATGAAGAATGCGCCACATCGGTAGTCTAAAATATCAACGACATGTGGGCGATCGTACGGGTGTAGTACTATAGCCCCACGTGCAGAATTTTTGTATACGGTTGAACCGCCGTTGTTTCATGTCATAACCTAATATCTTGAGGGTCTACAAATGACGGCATGATTACCTTCCACGCGCTCGCGTGCACACTAGCTGTCTCTTAATTAAAAGCAGAATGCTCCGCCGTCACAGTGAGGACCTGGCCACATGATCTGGGAATTCGCGTCATGGGCTTCTGATAAAACTAGCCCTTTGAAGGCAGGGCAAAAGGGCGGGTGTCAGTCGTGGGGCATTTCATATCGGGTGCTTTCGTGCACCACCCGATCGCACATAGAGCATGAACTTTCTATAAAGCGGTCTTCTTTAGGTAACTTGGCAGTCCACTGTGATAAATGTTCGTACGACCCTTTGCTGGATAAACCACAGATTCCGGGCAAGTAGGAACATAAAACAGAGGGGAAAAATTTCGAGGTGTTCAAAATCAGTGTAAAGGAAGATGACAGTTGCATCAGTGCGTCGTCGCTCGTTTCATCAAATAAGAAATTCAGATTCATTTGGCTTGAGGTATAATAAAGTGTGTATCAGTGGCGTAGCCAGGGAATTTTTTTCATGGGCGTTTTTCTTTGCTTAAGCTGTTTGAAAGACACAAAGAAAAGAAGAGACCGAAAAAAGAAACTGCCCAAACACAATTTTTTTTGCTATTTTCCTGTTTCTTAGACGACAAAAGTCCAACCTTCTTTTCCACCATCTCGTTCGTCCAGTATTTAAAAAAGGAGAATTTAATGTTAAACGACGAAAGAACGCAGTCAGAAAATATTATCATTGACTTCGAGCAAAAAAGTCTAAACAGGCTCACAAAAAATTACGGTGCGTGCACTTCAATGCGGAACACTCGGGTATCCAATGACTGAAAACTATGGAAAAGTGCCAGAGAGTAGCGAAGTTTAGAATACGATTAAACACAAAAACTGCAATGCGCAGAGGGGCAATGAGTGAAGTGAATAGTGAAGCGTCACTCTCATTGCTCCTGCGCGGATCACATTTTTTTCAGAAAATATTGTTGTATAGTCATGTTTTAGGCTATTTACGTTCTTCGTTGTTGTTTTACGAGAAAGTGTGAGAAAAATACCAATTTCGATCATTTTGTGGGGTCTAAACATTTAGTGGAAGCCGCCTTCGGTCGATTGGAAGAAGTGAGGCCTGGTTCACACTTACAGCTAATGCGCTGTCGCCGAAGCGGAATTGGCCGCGGCAATGCACAGGGGACGC